TACTCACAGCAGAATAGAGACTTTTGATAATTAATTGAGTCAAAACAGGCCTACGTATCACAAACAACACAAAATAAAATCCTTTCTCAGATCTGCCTGCTATGTTTTGGGGTTGTTTTTGTCCTAAAACAACAAGGCATTCCCCAGGTGGAACCCTGTTATCTGAAATCTCTCAAGCGACTTTTGATCATAATGTCACAAGTGCATCGATAATGTTGTTTCCAGATGCAAAATTTTTCCTAAGCTTACTTCAGGCAAACAGAAGTGGTAGCTCTCGTGATTAATATAGGATTAAAACGCATCTCACAAGCACATTTACCAGCATGCGACGGAAGTGCACCACCCGTGATTAACGGAGTAGAAATTAGTATTCTCACATGGTGCTTCATTGCGCACTTGCAAGAAATAATACCAAATAATTCAATAAAGCGGTAATTAAAAACCTGCCTTAATTCTCCTGGTACTGTGGCAAACGTGCTCTCTCAGCCTCACAGCTGAGCACGGAGAACTCAGCTGCCTGCCCTGCGCTGCACAGAAACCATCCACCCACCACTGACTCCTGCTGCTTCATAGGGGATCCAATTACTGATATCATTCTGACACCAGAGATTAGCTGATTGCCATTTCAGTGTGCTTACAAAATCTTATGTGTCACAGGAGGCCCTTTACTTGTTTCTGTAAGACAAACAGTATTTTTTTTCTAAATCTATTAAAAACCCACTAGAATAGATTCTCTCTCATGTGCGTAGCGATTCAGCCCCATTCTGTTGGACTCAAAGTGAATTCCTTCTCTAAAAATTGCTGTAGAACTGGTGTGTGGTGACAGCAGCAGCAAAGATACACAATATATAATTGTGCTGTTCAATTGTGCTTTTCAAAGAAGAGACTTAAAAAGAGGAGGAGCCATATATGCCACTGTTTCTGTACTCAGAAAGAGTAAAGATCTATTGAAAATCCAAGACAACAATTTTTTTTTCCTTAATTAAAAATATTAATAGACTTTGCATTGATCTTTTCTTACCAAATCTAAGAGCATGCTGGAACAAGCATTTGTGAATACAGTATTTTGATTTCTGCTAAAAGGTACTTTTTTCATCTTCAATGCTGATTTAGAACAGCATAACAATCAGTTAAATTCTCAGTTAGCATTCAATGAAAATATGAGAGCGGGGACTGCAATACTATTTACTCATTCCAGCTGTTGAACAGAATTAAAAAAGAAGAAACGGAGAGACAAGCTACAAGAAAGACAAATTGATGTCTAAGCAGGAAAGGTCAGGTACTGAGAAAAGACAGGAAGAAAGAATGATGAGCAAGAAACATTTTTGTTTTCTTATGCCCTGCAATGACATTCTTACAAGCAGACATCCTAATGACTCTGCTGATTATTCAAGTGTCTAGACCATATGAGATACCAAAAATATCTTTTTTAATGCTCCACTGAACTTTACTATCTGTTCTGGAAAACAATGTCTTCATGAGCTAATGTGACCATACACATTATATTACTTGCATACCATAGGACAGAGAATAAAGATTTAAATTGATGTGCGAAATTATGGGATGCAATGTAGACTCAGAATAAAAGGGACTTCTGCTTACACTCCTATATCCAACACCGCCACCACCACCAAAAAAGGGTACATTTCAAATTCCATTTTAATTGTTTTCCTCAGGTTTCCTTTAAACACAAAGTGAACTTAGGCTATAAATTTCTAAGGTTCTTCTATTTTTACCCAATTATACTGTGCGTTTTTTCTTTTTTCAAATTAATAGAAAAAGATTTTGTTCACAGAAGCAATATTGTTGTTGTATGATGTTTGTCATAGGGATTTTCCAGTATCGCAATCCCAGACTCATGAATCTGGCAGACCGTGGGCATCACTGTGTTGTTCCTTACAATCAAAGATACATAGAAAGTCTGGGCATGCATAATTCAAAGTAGAAGGATACAGGTGAGGTAACATATTGCAGGCAGGTTTGTCATTCTATGGCATTGAACATTTCCAGTCACTTATCAGCCATACAGTTGCTATTTGGTTTTGTGCTCCCTACTTGAAAGGATTACAGCTGCTTCTGACAACAAAGGAAATGCAAAACTTGTTGGAAGAAAATAAACAAAATAAAACTCTTTCCTATGGGCCAACTCAAAGTCTCACCTCATCATCCTGAGACATCAGGGATTCTGTGTTGTCTCTGTTTTTATTAATAATGCAGCAACAGTCTTTCAACCACTCTTTCTGAAGAGGTGCTTTTTCTTTGGCGGCTATGTGAATCATGTGATTACCTCACTCATCTAGAGTCAAAGGCTAAAAACTGATAGAGGTTCTCACTATCAACTAGTCTATAATTTGGCATCTAAAGAAGTAATAATAAATGGGTGTTTATCCACTCAGTGGGGAATTTCATTTCACTCTCCACCCACAAAGTCATTACCCGCACAATAGGAACAAGCAACAAAAATTCACAACATAATAAACTATTATAGGCTTACTGCCTATGCTACATCTTAAAACAATTTGCTGTAGCCACAAGCTGTAAACCAACTGTAATCCACAACATGAGAAGAGGACTCTGTTGACATGTTTATATTGAAACAAGTAGTATTTGCATCTCCAAAGAGCAGACGAGATACAAACACTGTTCATATATAAAATATATAAATGTTACTGTAGAAAATATTTATTTAACATTCCAGATAAAGAGTTTCTGCTGTTCTCAGTATTGTTTTCCTTGGCTTTACTTTCTTAGAATAGAGAGTCACTTGAGTGGCTTTAAATCCAAATCTGATCAATTTATTCACATAACTGAAACTTGAAATATATTTCCTGTCTTGTTGGAAAATCTTACACGTTCTATAGTGTAAGTAATATGGTAAAATACTGTTCAGTTTATCAGGGATACCATTTCCATACAAGCATCTTGTCAGTAACAGAAAGTTAAATCGAAAGAAATATTAATTTTAGCACAGTATCCAGTTAAAAATACAGTAACTTACTCAGCATAATGAAATGTTTTTGGACATAGGAAAGAAATGAAAATATTTGTGAACCAAAGAACTTTGAAAATGGTACACAACCAAAGCCTTTCTTTTTTGTGAAATGTATTATAATAGCATTTAATGTCTGAAATACAGAGAGTCAACAAAGTTTCAAGCAAAACCACTGCAGTATCTTAATGATTTAGTTTCTAATCAGTGTTAATTTCTAAAAACATGAAAAGAATAATTATTTTCTTTACATACATGTGAAGGTATTTCAATATAGAAATCTAGCATTATCTAGTCCATTACTGATATCAATTAAGTAGGTGTGTGGTCATCATGTGATCCTATGCAACAAAATTACTGATATCAATTAAGTAGGTGTGTAACAACAAAATACAATAAGAAAGTAGTCATTAAAGAGTAACTGAAAAGTCACACAGACAAGTGTACAAAAGTTCAAAAGCAGTTAATAGGAAGAATTTGAATGTCATGTTGCTTCTAGGTTGCTTATGCCTTGAACATATTACCTGGCCAAAATTTGGGAAGGAGACCAGGAGATCACTCCTGATGATTTTAAGCAAATGACTCAGTGTTCCTTGATATCTCAGATTCATTCATCTATTATAATTAGCTAATTTAATGTGTCTGTTGTTTCTTGGTACACTGACTCATCTAATGCTAAACAGACAAAACATTCTCACAGTCCAACGCAGATTTTGTTCGTGTTGTCAACACATAAAGAAAACTGTGAGAAGTACGCGACTAAATCTCTCTCTAGCCTGAGGAAAGGAATTTCATATAAATTGTATGTAAAAGTATATTTGCTTATTTTTAAGGAAATACCAATTTACTTTCCTAAAATCTTTCAAGATGATAATTTACAGTATGTTTTCTTAGTATGTAAGAAATTAAAACCACTGAAAGGAAACACACAGCTTCAGAAAAGCTGTAGTGAAAATGCAGTTCTCATCCCAGAAGATACTAATTTTACACACAAGGTGCAAAGCCCTCACAAGTCTGGGCGATTTCCAGCTCATGCACTCTTGACTCTCCCAGTCCTGTTTTCAGGTTCTGATTACTAACAGTTGCTTTATTTCACTATTAGATATGGATACAGTAAAAATGTTAACTAGATAGTTCTCTCTATTCATCAGAGGACAGTGTTCTTGCACAGTAAAGTTTACAGCTGTTGTCATTCTCAGAGCACTACCACTAAAGGAACATGATTTTCCTCAGCAAAATCCAGAGCTCCATCAGCATCAAACATTGTATTTCCAAAAAAGTAAAGCGTGGAAGAGTTTTAGAGAGAAGGGGAGGAACTTTTGTGTGTTGGTTTGCATTTGTTTGACTAAAAGAACAGTGGATTTCAGTCTCTAGTCATGAAGCATACACCTTTCACTGACCATAAAACTGCAAATAAAGGCTTCAAAATGTGGCCTGAGTTCCTCTAGCTTGGAAACCAGAGCTCCTGAATGATACCGGAATTGTCAGATTTTATTTTTCCAAATCTGAGGTCAGATTTTTATTTATTACAACTTAATAAATGCATTCTCTCTTTTGAGTACAGATGTACTTAAGGTCTGAAACTGGACTAAAAGCCAGAGAGGCTGAAGGAGATATGGAAAGGTGCAGCAGAGAAGAGGAAAGAGTAGAACATATCAGGCCTAAGCATTTGTTCTTTCTCGCTAGGTGGAGTGTGTGTTCTTGCTCTAAGGTTCACAAGTAAGGCTTTTCAAAACATCAACAGGGAGCAGAAAAAATATATATTTTTAAAATAAATTTCATCCTTACTAATCATGCTCTGCCAAGAGGGAGGAAGAAACAAAATTTCAAAATCTTCACATTAACTGTACACATTAAAGTGTATGCTCTGCAGAGGGCAAGAGCTGACATTTATTTTGTATAATATGGCATGTCTTGAGGGTAATTGTCACTGGAATATTCTCCCCTCGCTCCATGTCAAACAGTAATTTAAAATCAATAATGAGTCATGTTCCTCACATTTTTCACACACCTGTGTTAAATCCTGGAGGAAGCTGCTCCACTCTGTGCAGCGCTCTCCTGGCATGCGGGAGCCGTCTCCCTGCAGCCATCCTGTATGGCGCAGGCTCAGCACGGATGGTCGATGGATGGTTCAAAACGCTCTTGGAATCTGCAGAGCAAAAGCACAACGTGAGAGGAAGGCAATTTCTGCTAACTTTGCTGCTCCATCAGCAAGTCAAGAGAAATAGAAAGTATAAAGGTTGTTTCCCCAAAATATATGTGACATCTTAGCTTGAAACTACACAATTGGAGTTATTTTGTGACAAGTCTGGTGCTCTGGTATGACAGAAATAAACCCCCAAGAAGATCCATTCTGCCAAATACACTTAGAATTACATTAAAGCCTTGAATTGACAGTCCCCTGATTAATTTTTCCCAGACAGAACACAGTTTCCTTTCAAACTTGTTATGAATTAAGATTTTCTTCACTTTAGAGACAAATTAAGTCTTTAACAGTCTCTACAGTTTACCTTATCCTGAGACATTGCCAAGAATTTTAGACTTAATCAAAAGTGTCACAATTACGAGAAAAAAAGCTCACTACTATTCTCTGAAAACAAACCATAGAAGATCTCCCTGTCTTACCTCCCTGCCTCTGAAACACTACTCAAGCAGCAATTTCTAAGTTCAAGAATGCCTCTTTCAGAGCAGCTGCTTCCCCAGTGTTTTCTACATGAGATGTACATCTCTGTAAGTTATTATCACCTTTCAAAGTGAGATGTGAAATGACCATCGCATACACTAACAAGTATTTGAGTGTGTAAGGATGCAATTCTAACATACTTCTAGACCAGGCAGTTGTATACCTAACTATTATATATAGATGTATTCATATGACTGACATATGACTATATAGTCAGAAAATTACAACAGTATAGCATCTCCAATGAAACAAAACGTATGGCCATTCCCTACTCTTGGTTTCTGATGTCCCAAATCACCACTACTGAAAATTGTAACTACAGGGATCAGAAACATACTTTTGTTACCCTCTGGATCTTGTGCTGCGTATTCTGCTCTCTGAGGCAAAGTTCAATTTTTCGCTTTTTGCTCCATCTTAAATATTCTCCTGCTTCAGGAGGAAAAGACAGCTAATTTCCTTTATATAGGTAGGAGAAAAGATCTTAAGCACAGCTCTTTTCATAATGGAAAGCCTTCTCTGACTGCAGAAGATACCACAGAAAGATATCAGTGCCATGATATTAAATACTACCTAGCCAAATGAGTGATGGGACTTTGCAGAGAACCAGCTCTTGCATGCCTTACTACTGAAGATGTTTAGCCAAACATGATCTCAGCATTATATGAAAGTACATATGTGGCAAACTCTACTACTTTCTGAAGCAATCCACTCCGCTCACCTGGTACAACCCAAGGCTGAGAAAACTTATTTTCTCAGGCAAACACATTGGTCTTTTTTTTTAAGAGTTTCAGAAGTGAAGGGATTACTGTGAAGAGGTGTTTGGCCTCATCTGTGGATTCACCCTGGCAGAAAATCCTGTATAAAGCTGCTAAGTGAAATCATGAACTTGCAGTGGCCTTTGTAGTTTGCTGCCTCTGCTCATAGAAGACAATGACTTTTAGGACAAAGGATCCCACAGACTGGACTGAGCAAGCCTAAGGGAAGAGAAAAGTTTTGAACCTACTGAATTTGTAATGATGGTGTTAAAGCATGTGATAGGAAGTCATCTAGAACATGAGGGTACACTTCCATTTCCTTACCTTGAGCGATCTTTTATTAATTACTCAATGCCAGTAGCAGTATGGAAAACAGATTGCAACTTTTCTGCTCAAAGATCAGAAAGCAGTTTACAAAACACTGCACGGTTATTTCACCGACCATTGAAATGGTCACCCCGTTCAGGTTGCCTGCCTATGACTAAACAGAAGTTTGATTAAAAGTAAGAGCATACTGGAAGAGCCAACAAAAAGAGCCGTGGTGTCTGTATTTAGCAAGTGCTTATGAGAATGGTCTCTACAAAGAAAACAGAGTTCATTCTATATGCTTTAAAATAATGCAGGATCAAATAATCCAAACCCATGGTTGCAGACAATTAGAGTATTTCAAAAGCAATACTTAGAAAGTATAATTTTCTCTCAAAGGTTAACTGATAATGTTTGGCTAAAATGCAAGCCTTCCCCCTTGAAGTATATATTATTGCATATTGAAAACAGGACCTATACATTAATAATGCAGAAAACATTCTTTGACAAGAGGCAACAGCCACAAACTTAAACACAGGAAGTTCTGTCTGAACATAAGGAAAAAGGCATTTTTTTCTGCAAGGGTGACTGAGTAATGGAACAGGTTGCTCAGAAAAGTGGTGGAGTCTCCATGCTTGGAGGTACTTAAAAGCCGTCTGGATGCAGTCCAGGGCAGCATGCTCTAGGCAACCCTGCTTGAGTAGAAGGTTTAATTAAGAGGCATGGGAATTCCTCTACAGTCCATTGCATTCTATTCTTCTTTTTCTTTTATGTATTAGAATATATACTGAGTAAAAGAAAACTAATGAAAGAACAATCATGCTAGTGTTCTTGGCTGCAACACTAAAGTTTTTTGGTATACCTGAACAATAAATTACTTCTGTATCATCCTAGAAATGGAAATTGCAGAAAATTATTTCTCAGATCCTCATGGGATATACATTAAAAGGTACAACAAAAGATATTATTTCCCCTGTATGTTTATTATTAATTTATTGATGGGCTTTCGCTATTGCCATTTGCACTTGAACTGCTAGAAACTAAAGCACATCCTAAACTTCTAACTACAGCATACCTAAGAAAATCGTATGTTCATAGGATCCAGGATTCTCCATAGTCCTAAAAGGATTCACATAACCTCATCGGTATCTTCAAATCTTAGCATTTGCATCCTGCTTTCCAGCTCAGCTTGCAGATGTTTAAAAATACATGCAACAAGACAGCTCATTTTTGGCTACACAACTAAGAGCTTCAAACATCTGAATTATTCTGTCTGAGGTCAACTATGATACATACGCCAAATTAGGTTTAAAGCCAGCTGGAGAGAGCTATTCTTTGATGCTTGGAAACTTGTGCCCATTTCTGACCATCGTACTCTAAGATCTTCTTCCAAGGAGAGGACATTTTTAGGCAACCAAATCTGTAACTTGACCAAGCATATAAACTTACATCTTAAGCATCCAGTGACTTCAGCCATTTAAATATTGCCATGCAAACAGATATAAGATGCATCTTGGAGAACTGAAGGGTAGGACTTCTTATTAGGTGCAGGCCACTTTTCAGAAATAACTCACATGCATACTCCCAAATCTGAGGAATATCAACCTCAGATATGCTTTCATGAATTGGTTCTAAGAAGGACTGAGATTGCAAACTATCAAGATGTTACAGAAAAATAACATGTGCAACACGTAAAACTAACAATAATTCCTTCTTCCTTAATTGTCTGAGAACAAAATATAGAGATTGTGTTACACCAAATGAAATAAACAAATAAATAAATAAATCATATCAACCTTATCAGGGAGAGAAAGTGAGTCAGAGTAGATTAAGTCTATCTAACTAACACGAAGCTAAGTCAAAAAGTTCAAGTTAAGCTGCTTATGGTCTCTCTATAAAAGACACAAACTATCACAAAAGAAACGAAGAACTCTAAGGCATGCTGTATCTAGAAAAAATAGAAAAACAATAATGAAAGATCAGTTGGATCCATTCTGGAAGTAAAGTGTGCAATGTTAAACACATACTTTAATCTCTACTCAAGATTTGTAAATCTGTTCAAATAAGACTCCAGCAAAAGTCTTAATCTCCTTCTCTGATCACTAGAGTTTCCTACTAAGCATCTGTGCATCAGCTCCTTAGCCCAGGTAGAACAGAAGCTGAATGGTAAGATTTGTACATCCTCTTAAAAATTAAGAAATAAAAATAAAAAAAGGTATATAAATATATTTTAAATGAGTAGAGGAAAAATTACTAGAGGAAAAAATCTAAGGCTTTGTGCATCTAACCTCTAAGAAAAAGTCATGTCACTACTCGAACTTTGTCCTTGACCATACCACATAGTTTAGGAAGGTGCAAGAACAGGACATATTCCTCCTTCTTTCCTACTGCAGGGAACTCCCTGAATGAACAGTCACATTTGGACAGTATTTAACACGCCATACCATTCATGAACTCCCCTAGTCCCATTTTTAACTAATTGATATCTTCATCTTTCTTAACTTATTCTGGCACTGAGCACCACAACTCTGCTACAGAAAGTTTTAAAATTTGCTTTCACGAGACAGCCAAAAGAAAGAAAACTATCTAAACCCTTTTCACCATTTCCCACACAATCCTGGTACAAAAACAGGCAATCTTGAACTGAGTGTGCCCTAAAAGAGAGAGATTTTTCCCCCCAGGTCTTATATCAACCTACTCCTATTTGTTCAGGTGTGGAAAACACTCTTGTTCAATGCAACACCTTCTTCCCAAACCTTCCTGCCAGGAGATGCACAACTGCTCAAATAGTTAACTCTGATATGCCATTTTGGCTTTCGATATCTCCCTTCCTGAGCTGACAGCTATATCTAGTTATAGCTATATCTAAATCAGTCATAATACTCGTAAGCATTACAACAAAAAGCTCTCTGATCTGCCAGCTGGTTCCCTTAACACAAATTTAACCTGCTCCAAACTGTTACTTTACATATAGTTCAAATAAAGCTGGAGGGCAGGGACTTATTCAGAAGTTATACAAACTCCTCAGAGGTGAAGTGTTAATCCTGAATCCTACCAGAAATAATAAAATGGAGGACTGTAAAATAAGAAATAAGAGCAAACTTTTTTATTTAATTAGATGGAGCTGATGCTAACTGAGCATTCTTTGCCTGAACCAATGAGCAAGGGAACATGGTTGTCTGTATATATTTCAAGGGATATGGTAAGTCCCCTAGTATGATGCAAGAAGATATCACAAGTTTTAGTGAGATGAAAGGAAAAATTAAGATCCAACAGTAGGATATATCTTTAGTGAAATTTGTTAGGCCAAGATACAGTCTTTTCTGTCATGAAGTTTCATTTCGGGGGATATTTTAGCTGCAAACTAGACAAAGCATTTAAAGAAATAATTCCACGCTGGGAGAAAAGAAACATGAAATCGACCTTCCACCAGGTCGATCTCCACCTCTCATCTCAGCGATTCTTTAATAAAAGCTGTGTGAATCTGACCTCAGCCTGAAACAACGTCTACAGAGTTGCAAATGCTGATGGATGGCTACGATATACTTCTGGGGGAGATAGCCTCTGTGGAACAGGAATAATTTGAGGCATGAATGGGATTAGCCCAAGGTACTTAAAAGAGCCCTCGCCCTCTCCCTCTCCGCGTGCGCCATCTCGCATGACAGCAGCATTCCAGGAGAACAATGAGCCCGGTTCAGCGGCACAGCGAACCTCACAAGGAAAGATGAAAAAAACCCAAACAAACAAAAAAATGTGCACAGAAGCAGCAGAAACAGGGCTGTAAATCTGCCTCCT